CAAGTGCATTAAGTAAAGATTCGAACCTGCTTATGAAATACTCTATCAAGCCTACTTGAAAATATTATTTTCCATTTCGAAATATTCGAAACTATATTCTATTTATAACTTAGATTCGAGTGTCAAATAATTCATAAAACAGGAATTCGTCGATTTGTAACAGTTTCACTTCGTCACATCACTGATTTTTCGATTCACACACGAGGAGTTCACGTTCGAACAAATGGAATCAAGAAAAATCCATCTCGACATTTAACATTTCATTCACTACTACCTAAAAATTTAAAATGCTATCTAAAATTTTCTTCAAAAACATATCAAGCATAATTCACATTTACGAGGAATTTGAATTGAATCAAGTTTTGTATCTATTTGTTCAAAAGCACACGTCGATCCTGCCTTCGGAATAGATTCGAATCTGTTCCCGACGTGTTTGATTCTATCTATCAATAAACAATAAACAATAATCAATAAACAAACATCCCCTCTCAGATTAGAATATGCACTGTTCACAAACACTTATTCAAAGATTCAAATCCGAAGATTCAACCAGCCCGTAAAGTACCTTCAGCAATTGCTAAGCGACGCTCATTTCTAAACCATACGATAATAGAGAGAGAGAGAGAATTTTGCGATCGAATAGAGAAAGAGCGGGAAGTGAATGAAAAAAACACGGAGGATCGGAGATTTGAATCGACGAACGAGGAGGAAAGCAAGCGAAAATGGAACGACAAGAGAGAAAGAGGAAAAAAGAGAGAGAGAGAGAGAGAGAGAGAGATCTGGAGAGCCACAGGAAATGCCGCTCGCGAAACGCCTGGCTGCCATTGTTTATTCAACGCATCCGTTTTAATGCCCGTTATAATTGCACAGAATGAAAAGCCAATGGCTTTCCACTCTTTGACGCGATATTTCGACATCGACCGCGATCTTCCTGCCTCCCCCACCCTCTCTCTTCCCCTCCTGTCTGACCTACGGTACCACTACGTCACTCCCGATGGTCAGAGTCCGATACTTCCGTTCGAAATTGTTGCAAAACGAGCATGAAACCCGTTCTGTGCGTAATTAGTTGTGCGGCTGGCACAGGCCGTTATCGCGTGTCCTCGCATAAATAATGCAATCGCGCGGGTAGCAAAAGGGGTAAATTACGCGGGTCGGTGTGTTCTCAATGGGGCGCCTAATAAATGTTAATTATCAATTAAGAGCCACCCTTCACCCACCCCTTGACCCTCGTTGTCCCTCTTTTTTACCATTCTTTTTTCTCTTTTTTAATTTTGATTTTTGTCTCGTCTTTGGTCGTCCTTTCATCGGACTAGTGTACCTTTCAACCCTTTCGGGAAACGAAATATTTTTAAGTTAAATTCTATATAGAAATGAATATAATATTGTAACTAATTTTTCTAATTAATTTTTAGTAATAATTATTACTCTAGTAATAAGCTACTAAAGTTTAAATTATTACTCTTTAGTAAGTAGGCCTCTAGTAATAATTATCTCTCCAATGAGTGTTAATTATTAATTACGCTACATCTCTTATCCTTTTCCCTTCAGCCCTTGAAATTTTGTGCCATTCTTCCATTTTCCTTTCTTTTATTTTCGCTTCTATCTCGCCTCTAGTTGTTCTTCGTCTTTTTCAACTCGTTAGAACGCATTGTTTATTTCTTTTTAATTAATAATCATTTCGTTAATAGTACAGAATTAATTATTTCGTTGTTTAATAATATTATTTTCATTATCGGTAGCTGCATTGATAAACTCAAACGTAATAACCACATCGTAAACAATAATGATATAACCAGAATGAAATTTTTTCTCTACGTGAAAGAATTTTGAACGAAAAAATTTCGACCGGAATGTTTTCGTCCCGAAGCTTTGTTTCCGAAAAAAAAATAAAAAATAAAAATAAAAAATAAAAAATCGAATTTCAAAAGATATTCATGGAAACGTAAATTGTTCAATTCAGACGTTGAAAGCTATTGCACAATTGTAATGGAAAAAATTGCGCAGTAACTTGATGAATCAAAAAAAACAACTATTACTAACGTTGTAAATACCATTTCACGACTCAGAACAAACAGAATAAATAGAAATTTCTCTTTCTCAGCTGGAAGATAAATGGAACACTTTATCGGAAGGAATGAAAAACATGGAGGACACGGTACAATGGAACTTCATTTAACCAGAACTCGAAATTGTCGAGAGACAAGCAATTTATATAATTAGAAGTTCACTAATTAAAATATCCCTTCCTTGTTGGAGTTCAGGTGCAAATAAATTCAATCAGCAAAAATTCATTTGATCAGATATTGATTGAAAATTTCATTTCAAATAGATGGAGTTTTATTAAAGTCTTCTCTCTCTCTCTCTCTCTCTCTCTCTCTCTCTCT